GTTTTTTGCCCCACTGTAGGTTGCTACCACATGCATATTGTGTTACATCTGGCACTGCAAATGTTAGACCTGCCCCTGTAAAAATGTATGGGTCCAAGTTGAAATGCTAAGAAGTGGAAACATGTAGGGTTGAATGGTTTGTTTGGCACTAGAAAAGTGGACATTCCTAAAAGATGAAAGGCAGATAAATTCTAGTTGCCTAGCTCTGTATGAGCACAATAAGACAACCATGATTGACAGCAATTCATTTACCATACATTGAGGAAGTGAGTCTTGGCCTCTGCAGGGAAGCCAAAATGACCATTATCTTGGATTTTCAGAGCATATTGCCAGTTACCAATGCATGAAGAAAACTCCACACTTTTCAAAATTTAAAAACTATTAATGAGCCATATGTCTTTTGCTGAGGGCTTTATAAGGTTATGTAATCTGGCTCTTCCTGATGACCAGTGATGCAGTAGGCTAGGAGAGCTTCATCAAGATATTTCCAAACACAGTGAACCATGTAACCATGACAAAACTTCTTGGTTGTAATTCTTAGTCAAAATATATGGAAAAAATCTTTGGTCCTAGGTTTTTTTTAATAGAATAAATTTCCTGTTAAATGTACAATTGGTAAGGAAGCATCTGAATGGACACATCTTTACATTGTAAGTTTATGTAAACTTTCTGAATTATTTTAGCCAATTAAATACATCTCCATGCTTGTTTTCAGTCTCTTTTGGTTGAAGTAATGCAGTGCAACAATCTGCAATATTTCAGAATACTGCAAAATGATGACCATAATATCACAGGACCACAAAGGAACAGTAGTGCTGTTTGTATGGTAGCTTGCTACCACATGCATGCATACCACATGCCACAGTAGTTCTTCCTTTGTGGAAGTAGCCAAGCAACCACATTTGGAGGCAGTAATAATTTATCTACCTTTAGTATTTCTCAGTACATCAATACCACCCCAATAACTATTCTCTGTGGGGTTTGTATATTTAAAATTTTTTTTTTTTAACATTTTGATGATGATGTATTTTAATAATCATGTCTTTATCTATTTGTTATTTTATTTAGTTGTTCACTGCTGCCCAGAGTCGCTTTGTGTGAGATGGGTGGCTATATAAATGTGATATATAAATAAATAAACTTAAATAAATAAATAAAATAAACTAGCTGAATATAGTGAGCAACATACAGGCAACAGGAACTCTTAACTGGCTTGTATCCTATGCTGTTAAAATGATATACTAATTCTAGATTTTTTAAAAAAAATATGGGTATTAAAATAAATATTGTGTTTAAAGAAGCATTAAGATATTTAAACTTTGGAGCTAGGTTTCAGATTCTTGGCATATGTACATACATTTCCATTCTTTTAAAGCCATCTTTTTTTGTGGTTTCAAAGGCTACTTTTAAAGTTCTCTGATCTGTCAGGAGCCATTTCAGACAACCTGGTGTCTGTGTGTATTCTTCCATCTCAACCAGAATTGATCTATTTATGAACAAACATTGTTTTATGTTGGGGTAAAATGAACCCACATAGAGCTGTAATGCATATGTGTTTTCAGGAAATAAGAGCAGTTTTGAATCTAATATTTTAATGTGAGCTGAGAAAATGTCAGAAAAGCAACTACATGTGTTGCTGTAGGCAATCTTGGCAGTAGCTTTCAGGTAGTGAACCTAGCCCAGTGAAGAGGTGAAGAGACTGATTTGGACTCTTAGTTGGACACTTGAAACTATTTATATTTAAAGTTTGTAACTGAATATCCAACAATATATTCATATGCCATGCTAATCCAGAATTCTGGCTTTAATGAAATAATCAGTTCCTTGTGGTTTGCATGAAATCTCATGCCTTCCGTGGTTTATTTAATATGGCATTCCAGCCATGACCCATTTCTCAGAAGCCAAGACGTAGAAGCCAAATGCAGATCATGGTTAAGAAGGAAACAATCCAGAATTTCTTTGCATAGTATACTAAAACCATGGCTTGTTTAGAAACTCTATTAGGAGGAGGAATCAAGCTGGAGCAATAAAGTGGTAGTATTTTTAATCAATAAGCTATACAGCTTATTCATTAGCTACAAAAGGGTAAAGGAAGCCAGAATTATAACATATTTGGATGTTATGATGGGGGAGAAGTTGTGTTCTACTTTTTTGGAATAGTATATCTAGGCTAATTGATATTTTTGAAGAGAGTTTTTTTTTTTTAAGTTGTGCCCAAAGGACATGGGAGCAATTGCCTAGTGTCTAAAGAGTGCCCAATATCTTTTTTAAAGAAGAAGAAGATTGGTTTAAAGAGCAATCATATTGAATAGCTCTCCTTGTTTTAATTCATGATTCAAATTAATTCCTAAGTTTGTCTCCTCTATGCATTTTATTTCTACTGAACAAGAAGGAAGTGGACCCTAAGGAATATTTTTATATGGTTTGGTTCAGGCTTCCATCCTCAGCTATTTCTTTACCTTATGATTATGAACTTATCTGCCTCTTAAAGTTATTTTGCCTATTGTTAATCCTGTCCTCACGCATAATTGGTTTTGCTGTTTGCAGCTGCCCTTCTGTTCCATGAAACTGCACAAGTAGCTATTTCTTGGTGTTAAGGCAAGAAGTACAACTCTATTGGGTTGAGGACTTGGATAGCCTTTGAACAAAAGAGCGGGGGCTCCCATTAAATGATTTTAAAGGTGGGTGGTAAATGAAAATTAAATACTTAAAGCTGTTTTAAAATAAATTAATAATAATCATCAGTGTTATAGTGAGCTTTATCCCTTCATATTTCAGTTGATTTCCAGGTTTAAAAATAAAGAAGTTTGCAAGCGAACAAAATGCCCATTCTCTGATAAATTTTCTCTCTGTTATATAGAGAGCATGCAAAGAGATGTAACAGCATGGGAGAGGGGTTTTCTGGTTAGCAAGAAAATTGGGGGGGAGGGACAGTGTTCACATTTCCCCCCAGTGGTCTGTGTATCTTTCTTGGCTTCCATAGAAAAGCTGGTGTCTTTATAGATCCTATTAATATGCCTATCAGATTACTCTTGTTGCTATTTAATTGCATATCTATCATCCATCTAAGAGGTCATTGTATAGGAGTCCTCACTTACCGACCACTTGCTCAGTGACTGTTCGAAGTTATGACGGTGCTGAAAAAGGAGACTTGCAACGGGTCCTCGGAAGTTGTGGACGTCACAACATCCCATGGTCATGTGATTACAATTTGGGTGCTTGGCAACCAGTGCACATTTACAACAGTTGCAGCATCCCATGGTCACTTGATCACCATTTGCTGGCTTCTAACAAGCAAAGTCAGTGGGGAAGCTGGCAGGGAAGGTCACATGACACAGTATGTGACATCGCGCTTAACAACCCTGCAGGACTCGCTTAACGACTGCAGTGGGAATTGATGTAAGTTGGTGCGGTTACATGACGTCATACTTAACAATCACTCCACTTAGTGATGGAGTTGCCGGTCCCAATTGCAGTTGTTAAGTAAGGACTACCT